GCATTATTATGCTATTATATTGTCATTATGTAATCAGTGGCATAAAATGGTCTGAAAATTACAATAATATCGTTTATCGCAATTAATTTTGGTGCAATATATCGCACAACAAAAAGTAGATATCGTGACAGCTCTACTGACTTGTCAGCTTCCAGAAGCAAACAAAGTTTGGTGATGGGTCTTTGTAGAACAGTGGTTTTAGTCCTCACCAAGACACTGCGGACAAGACCTTTGGGCCCCGGCAGGGTCTTCATCACACGACCTAAGGGCCACGAGTTCCTTGGTGCTGTGTGGTCTACTATGACTACTATGTCATCTACCTGGAAGTTTCTCTTGGGATTGTTCCACTTTTGTCGTTGCTGCATCAATGAAAGATATTCAGTTGTCCATCGTTGCCAGAAAAGGTCTGCAAGGTCTTGCACCTGTTTCCATCGCTTACTAGCGTACAAGTCATCCCTATTGAAGAGTCCAGGTGGCAAGGGGGGTTTGGATTTCAACTGCAGAAGGTGATTTGGTGTTAGGGGTTCAAGATCATTTGGGTCACCTGATACAGTTGTGATAGGCCTGTCATTGAGAATACACTCAACTTCACACAAAGCTGTTTGTAACAGATCATCGTCCAGTGTCTGTTGTTTCAGGACAGAAAGCAGTATTTTCTTAACTAGTTTGATTAATCTCTCCCACACTCCTCCGAAGTGGGCTGCAAATGGTGGATTAAAGGTCCACTTGACATGATTGCTCAGCAAAGTCTCTTGAATTTTGTGATGGTCCATTTGGTTCAAGGTGGCCTCTAATTCCTTCTGGGCACACACAAAATTGGTGCCACGATCGGTCCTGATGGTCAGGACTGGTCCCCTCCGACATAAAAACCGTCGTATAGCATTGATGCAAGAGTTCGTGTCTAATGTGCTTGCCACTTCGAGGTGTATTGCTCGGCTCACCAGGCAGGTAAATATCACTCCCCATCTTTTTACATGAGAACGACCTCGTTTGACTTCAATTGGTCCAAAGTAGTCAATACCCACGTGTGAGAAAGGTGGAAGATCAGGCGCGACACGTTCATCGGGTAGGTCAGCCATTTTTTGTTCTCCAACTTTAGCTTGCATTCGTCTGCAAAAGACACAAGACTTTATTATCTTTCTTGCAGATGAATTTGCCGATGGTATCCAGAACATCTGACCCAGTCTCGAAAGCATGTGATTTCTTCCTGAGTGTCCGACTTTTTGATGTTTGTCACGCAGGATCAGTTTGGATATATGCGAGTCTTTGGGTAGAATAATTGGGTTCTTTAGACTCACCGGCATGGCTGCTTTACTTAGTCTTCCTCCAATCCTCAAAATGCCCTCATCAATGATTGGATCCAGTTTGTATATGGAGCTATTTGATTTGATGAGTTTGTTTTCTCTCAAGAGTGTTATCTCTGAGTCGAAGTAGCGCTGTTGTTCACAGCGAATGACAGACTTCTCAGCTTCGTCCAAATCCTCAGGAGTTAATCCTTTTTGATTCATTTTGCATTGTGAATCTATTGTAAGACCTTTGTCTTTCTGAAGCATCAAGAGTCCTTTGAGCCTTAGCCACCATGCAATAGCTCTCAATAGTTTCCTCCATGAAGAATAATACTCAATTATTCTTGTAACCGCGTTGTTCTGGAGGTTCAAGTAGTTACTAGAGAGTTCTCTTTTTACTTCCATATCGTTTGATGGGATATATCTGAGATCTTCTGGCACTTCAGGCCATTCAGATTTCTCCTTTGACAGGAAGTGAGGACCGTTCAGCCATCTTGTGGAATTCAGGAGGGATTCTATCTGTAAGCCACGTGAGCTGTCATCTGCCGGGTTGTCTCCAGAACATACATACCTCCACTGATGTACTTGCGAGAGGTTATGTATCACTGCAATTCTATTTGCGACATAAGTATGAAATCGTTTTGTCTGATTATGGATGTACTTCAGTACCACCGTACTGTCGGTCCAGAAGGTGGAATCTTCCAGTTCCATATGAAGTTCCTTTTGCAACATTCTGTCCACCTTCACAGCAAGGGTTGCGGCTGCAAGCTCAAGTCTCGGAATCGTTATCCGTTTGAGTGGGACTACTCTGGCTTTTCCCAGTACAAATGTGACATGAACATTTTTGACACTATTTGTAAGTTTGAGGTAACTTACTGTCCCATATCCTAGCTCGCTTGCATCACAAAAATGGTGTAGTTCAGCAGTTTTTACAACACCAAAGTTCTCGGGCTTCACGCACATGTCCACTTCAAATCTGCTCAGCTGGTCTAACTCTGTGAGCCATCTTTGCCATGGCCTCATAATTCCATCTGGGATTATTTCATCCCAGCCATATTTCTCATGGCAGAGTCTTTGCAGAATTTGCTTGGCCTTGAGAACAAAAGGGGAAATGAAACCTAGTGGGTCGTATATGTAATTAACTATAGAAAGGATTGTTTGTCTAGTGGGAGTTCTGTTCTTAATGGTTACCCGGAAGGTAAAGACGTCCTTTT